ATATATATATATAAATTAGTCGCCTCTTTAGAACAGTGATGGTGAAATTACACGTCTTAATGAACCCAAATAAGAACCTTCTTATCCTTTGAGCCAGTAGCCACACGTTGGCCGTCAGGGCTCCAATCTGTAGAGAAGATCTCGTCGCTGTGGCCTGAAAGGTCTTCGACAAGCTCGCGTGAAGACACCGACCACAGTTTCAAGGTAGAATCCCTGCTACCCGAGACCAGGAGACGAGAGTCCAAACTCCAGCTAACATGATACACCGGGGCCACGTGGCCTCTAAACGTCGTGATAAACTTTCCATCAGAAGCGTTCCATAACTTCACACTCTTATCAGCCGAGCAAGACGCAATCATGGTCCCGTCAGGACTAAACTGGATGTGAAATATAGCTCCTTGGTGCCCAGTCATTCGCCCCAAAGGGGTAACTTGCTGCTGTGGCGACCACAAGAACATAGTATTATCATCTGAACAACTAACGAGGCACTCGTAACCCCCAATCCGCGAGAGAACTTCTTTATACCTTGCTTCCGCATGTCGCTGCATTTCCACACGAGAATCAAACTTATTGCCCTCATGGTCAAAAGGACCTGTTCTGATCACGAGATCGGTGCTGAGTGCGACAAAGTTTACCCAATGCGCATGACCACGAAGAATACTACGCGGGGATCCATTTGAGGCATCCCAGACGATTATACTGCGGTCCTGTGAAGACGAGTAGATCAGATTTTCACCACCCCATTTTACACATGTAACACAGGCCTGGTGACCAGAAAGAGAGTACTGAAACCCGTTAATGGTATGCCAAACCTTGAGGCTCGCATCTTTACTTGCAGAAACGAACCTATCACAGGCTGTATTCTTGTGTAGTGGTTCCCAGGAGACATGCGACAAATAGCTTGAATGGGCCTTGTGCTGCTTTCCTTTAAAGCTGCCGTATGCTCCATCATGTGACCAAACAATAAGTACACCATCTTTGCTCCCACTCACGAGATGCTTCCCATCAGGGGCCCATGACAACACCTGCACCCAGCTCTTGTGGGCGGTGAGCTCCTCGGTTGGAGTTAATGTGTGTACGTCCCACAGACGTATCTCCTTGTCGCCCCCACCACTTGCCAGTACCTCACTGTCAGGCGAAAAACTCACAATAAGCACAGCCTCACTATGCCCATCAAGCGTTCCTGCACACCGTGTCACTGGTCTAACCCTAAATTTGGCTTGTGGTTTGTACTGGATGTCAATAATTGTTTCCTCTGGCAACTCAAACAGTAATTTCTCCACATCTTGCGGCCTGACACGCCTCCCCTCCTTTAGCATCTTGTCAATGAAGGATTCTTGCTGCTTCTTAAATAGCGTCTCTTGCACACTGGCGTTGACTTGCTCCCCCTCAATGAAAAATGCGTAGGGCGTAGTTCGTGCATCTTCACCCAGCATAGAGCACAGCAATTCATCAAGCTGTTTCGGTGTCGCTGAAACAGGAAGAAGAATCTGTGTTCCGGCCAAATCGCCGTTTTCGTCAACGAGTCGTACCATTACCATTTCATTTTTTGTTTCAACGCCGTCGATAGCCTCCGTATCTGTGACGACAACGACATCACGGCGCTGCCTCTTTCGCACTGGCATTAATACCTCTGTCGAGGTCAAGGGCAAGAAAATAACAGTGGAAGAAACACAGGCAAAAAAACAACAACAGCTACTACATGAATACCACAACACATGTCACCCTTTAACCAGAGCCAGAGAGTAATCATCATAATAATAATATTAATAAGAAAACGTATTGTCTTCGCCGAAATTAAAACAACAACAACAACAACAACAAAAGGAAATGACAACTTTACCACACCAACTCATACAAAGCCATCACCATGCCTCGACCTGATTGACTCTTCTCCTTGAGGAAAGAAATCGTTGTTTTGTTCTTACGAAGAAGAGAATACTGAAACAGAAGCAAACAGAAGCTTATCACAGCAACACAACTCACCAACAAAAGCCCTATAAATGTGACAAAACCGCCATTCGCGCAGGCCCAACCCCACCGCATGAAGAGTAGAAACAACATGTTCGTCAGACACATACCCAATAACCACAAGAAGAGTCTCCGGTTTTTAAATCCAATGCAGTTACCAATAATCAAACAATGATGATCCATGCCTTCCACGTACACCCCACATGTACGGCAGAACGAGACACCTGGAAAGCCTTTTCTCGTCTGCGGAATACTCACCACGCAAGACAAGTAAAAGACTAGGTGCGCTGACCACAAGAAAACGTAACAGACTTCATCTAGGGAGCACACAAAAAGAGAACTCCATGAAAAGTTCTCTTTCCCCCAAAATATCCAATCAACAACGTACCACACATAGACAGGAGGGTTGCAACAGCTGGCGCATCCCACTCTCGATTGGAACATATAGACGTAGTACTGCCAAACAAATGATACCATCACAACGACTATAAATGCTCTTCCAATGACGTGATGGCACCCCTTTCGTCCTTCAATGAATCGAACATGATCTAGAGCCTCACTAAAAAAGCAGTTTCCTACGATGAAATTTAGAGCCATCGCAAGGGCAGGAAATACCATGACCGTGTACACAGCACCCCATGAAAATAACACTTCTTCAATTCCCTTCATCCACAAAATCTAGCTTCAAGAGACAAAATCAAAGAGAATTGCATGCTCTTTCGGCCACTTATTATTATTATTATTACTATTTTGCTTCAGGCCCCTGAGAGCCAATGAAGAATAAGTAGAGCCGAAATCAAAGTTAGCACCGCGGTCTTTTTCTCTGTTCAGGCTCTCTTACTGCATGCATGACTTTACTCTCCGTTTGAACCATATCAACATCATCATCATCAGATGCCTTGGTGTGTCTTGGAGCCACCGAGCTCTTTGATGGCTGTAAAAATCCCTTGCGTGCAAGAGTCTCTTTTGAAAAAAGAGTTGTGCCGAGGTCTCGCTTGTGTTCCCACGGCTGCGCCATATCCTTAAAGAAACCACGTCCAACTGCAATTGCTGCGTCCACACTAAGGTTAGCGTTTTCCTTAAGACACTGCTGAATCCATATCGGCAACTTTTTTCGCTTGTCGCTCAACGCAAATCGTCTGTCGACAAGTAACATCATTCCATAGTCTGTTTTGTTTCTCAGTACACGACCGATACACTGTGACGCCTGCCTCATGGCGTCGAAGTTACGATATTCATTACCAGGAATGCCCAAACACGTTTCCATCCAATGTATTCTTTGTCTCAAAGGCTCATCGTTTGGTGGCAAAAAAGGTACGCCAAACATTACAACAGCCCTTCCGTAATGACGGTCAAAATCGATACCCTCCGCAATCTTTCCACGAGCAATGGCCATAAATATGGCACCACGCCCGATATCACATGCCCGTTTGTAATTTGCTAAGGCAACAGATGTCTCTTCCACAGCTTGAGTTTCCACAAAGATGAGTTTATATTGAGCCAACTCCTTTAAAAAACCAGACCTATGCCACCCAAGCAACACTTCCCCCATGTACTGATACCCAGTAAAGAAACAGACAATACCGTCAGGTACACTCTTAGCAAGACCACGTAGAAGATCTTCATAGGAAGCAGACACTGTCGCCTGTGCGACAGGATTCATACGCACATTAAAGCTACTTGTGATTTCTTCAGCTGTAATGTTAACGCTTTCACTGCTTCTCGTTACAATTACCGGAGCAATACATTTTCTACTGAGAGTCATTTGGAACGATTTCGCAATCACTGGTGCAAATCCAAGAATCTTTGGATAAATATCTAACGGCGAAAGTGTACCAGACGTCAAAACCACACTTTTGTACTTTGAAAACGCCTCGCGCAATGCCAATGAAGCATCAACACAAACCAGACGAATAACCGGATCCGGGATATTAGGCCTTGTCGGATCCTGAGCTTCACACACAACAACAAATCCCGGTTTTTCGTATCGATCATCAGTGTAATAGGTAGAAAGAGTCATGTACATTTGTGCTATAAGGGCCACGTTACGAAACTTATGTGAATTCGTGATCTGGAGTGTATTCATGAGAACTTTCAGGCGCTCTGTGAGATACCTTAGATGACGAATATCCACAGCACATTCATTTTTTACTTTTGCCAAGAATACCAGAGGATCCGCAACATAGGTACGTGAAACTCTACACACTACACGGTGAGTAAAATCAACGAGCCGTTGAATAAAAGACAAGAAGTGGTTTGCTTGCCGCAGACTCCCTGGAACAGATTCCTCGGCAATGTCCAAAGGGATACGAGGTGCGTGAACAGATGTCGTGGTAGCATCCACACATCGTGCCAACTCAGCCATTGCTAAACCGTTAACAAGTCGATCGTACTCATCCTGCAGTTGTTGCCGATTGGTCGCTTTCATTTGATCGACAGCTCTATTCAGCTGTTTCACATTTTCTTTGGCTTGAATAGCATCTTCTTTTGTGATGATGAGTGACATAGCTTCAATGCACACATCGTCAACGTTGTGTCCCTCATCCATTACAACGATTGTGTTCTCATTTAGGTATTCCTTTGTCACTTCAGCCACAACAGGGTCGACAATGTAAAGGAATGAGTGAACTACAATGTCAGCAACGCTTAAAGCTTTACGGGCTAGATAATAAGGGCACAACTGATGCGCTTCACCAAATCGTTTCAGGTCGTCCACATCGTATGCTCCAGGGGGGAGATCAAAAGGTACGCGGTCGAGAGAGTCAAAGTAGGCACAGCGTCTGCCGGTTTGCCACGGTGCTGTGAGGCTCCGACATCCCGCATCCACATCTTCTGGGTGATGCTGAGATGCAACACTTGGTTCAATGCAGAGATTTTTCTTTGCAGTTAAGCAAAGCCCACGCAAAGGTCTGCTAGATGTCGCTTCGGAATCCCAGAGTTTTAACAGTTTTCGAAGTTCACCGAGAGTCTTGGTCATTTCCTCAACAGTTCGAGTGCAGTAAACAACCTTACGCTTCTCATCAGCATGATAATGAAGGTATGCTATAAGTAAGGAGAGCAACGTCGTCGTTTTCCCGGTTCCCGATGGCATTTCAAGAACCATGTGCCCCCCACAATCCAGGCCCTTCTTGAGTTCCATCATGTACTCTAGCTGCTCAGGATATATATATTCATACGGGAATAATACCGGCACATCCTCTATAAATAGCTTCATCCCAACTAAGAGAATTGAGGCAAAACCAACACACACACACACACAAAGATATATATATATATATATATATACAAATACATTTATGTACCCCTTTTGAAGTATTGGCAATCAAGACAGCCGCATGCACTGTTTTCTTTTTTTTCGTTTCTCCTCTTTTTCTTTCCGTAGAGAAGGTAGAGTACACATACAAGCAGAAACACATACATGGTGCCTTTTGTCTCACGCTGTGTACCTGTACACGCTAGGCGTTTTCTGATCTCGCTCAATGTACTCCTTTCGTATCAGCTCTTCAATCCGTTGCTTGATTAATTTAGAATCAGCTGAAAACAAGGGTGACAGTTTTTGCCGACATTCTTCAAGAAGATCAGAATGACCAAGAACGCGACGGCTCTTCATGATGCGAACTAAACATGCATCTATCGCAGGTTTTCTGTCCTCGTCAACTTCCTTTGCTATTTCTTCACTCTGCGAAGCACCTACACGCCGGCATGCTGCCATTGGTACTCGTATTTTTCTCCATTTACTGGAGAATTCTTCATTGACGAAAAACATGTCATCTCTTTGAAGCGTGGCAGATTCAAACTTTCTGCGTAGTACCGAACATTTCAATAGAGGAAGAAAGACGGGCTTCAAATCCTCCAGGGACATCCCAAACAAGCTCATCACATCATTTGGGGTTAATTCTCTCACATCATTGAATGCGAGAAGCACCCAGCACTGGGGACCTGTCATGGAAAGTGTCTTTGCTCCGTTTTTATAAGCTGCACTTATATCTCCGCTGCTGTTTGAATACGACCACGTGAGTACCCGTCCAGTTGTACCCTTCAGGTACACATTCTCAAATGCACGGAGTGCTGTCTGAATCATAGAAGGTGGCGTAAAAAACTCACTTTGAATTCTCGGAGGCCAAATCCCCTTCTTTAAGACGAATACGCTTATTGCAAAATGCGGCTTTTGCCCAACAGCCTCAAGTTTTTCTTCGGCATTATGACCATCAGCGATATCTACATCGTGAAGCATTCCTTCAAGGTAACTCGTACTCGATATACCGCAACGTTGACGTATGCGCTGAACAAGAGATCGTTCGGTAACCTCATCAAATTTTCTACGCGGAAACAAGATCCTCTGGGCTAATAAATCACGTGAATGGGCAAGAAATGTGTCCCGGTCGGCTACATAGCTGAGGGCCGCAACTACTCGCTCTAATTCTTCCTCCTCAGTAGAGTTTCCACTCCCTTGAAGAACGGCGTCCGTATAGTATGCCAAGAGTTCACTGAACAATACACACCGATGTGTCCCCGAGGACGCGTAAACACCACTACTATAGACTTTCATAAGACCCTCCTTCACAGCTTTAAGCATCACTACATGACCGTTAAAGCAATGAGTGAGTAAATACAGAAAATCTTCCTGAAGTTTCATCATATCTGCTACACAAGATCTGAAGTCTACTTCCTTCTCCTCCCTACTGTGATGCAGCAATCTTTCCCTGCCTTCACTAATAAGTCCCTGTTTTGTCAGGCTCGACAAGTGGGAAACGCCTTTGGTACGTCTTGAAAGCAAAGTGTAGTATTTTTTTAGAAGGGCCTCTTCACGATTCTTTAGTGCAGCAATAAAACCATCGTTTGACATCAATAGTTTTTCTATTGTCGCTGGTGAGTCTAATAGAACCTCTTCCACGTGTGTCATGATAGTTTGTCTATCTTCCAAAGAAAAGTAACACGCGCACCTATCCTTTTCCTCATTATGAGCTCGTTCTATTCGTCGTAGAAACTCTGAAGGAGTACCCGATTTGGTCCATTCCAATATGAGCTCATCGTAATGAACTTTTGTGATGGCTAGGTATGGTTTTAAAAATTGTTCTGAATATATTTCCTGCTTTTTCTCAATGCTCACAGAGGAAAGCAATTCGATGGCGTTTCGGATCTGATCACGATTTACACTCTCACCATTCCTTTCAGAACAAAGAAGTTCCTGTGTAACACGGCTAACTGTCTGTGCATTCTTCTTTAAAATTTGTTCGAGGAATATACTCAAGGCTACTTGCTGAAGAGACGGTTTTGAGCAATTAATAATGTAATACCTAGAAAGGTATGCAAAAGCTCTCATGTTCCATTTCATTAGTATTTTGTAATGTTCCCAGACTTTAACAACTTTGGTAAACAACTGCATTTCCGAAGATGCTTTCAAATCTCGGTACTTCAAAAGATAACGTGTCAGCATCTCTTGAAAATCCATATATAGGAGCTCATCTACGTGATAACCAATCAGGTCAGATGTTGACTTGGAACTAGTGGTTCGTGTCGCAGCAGTATACACAGTGCTATAGTGATTCATGCGTCTCGCAAAACCCGTATTTGACTTAAACTCAGTTTCAGTTAATTCGGCTATTGCCTCAAAATCCGCCTTCATTCTGCGAATGGCCTCTCTATCTTCTTCCAACATTTTTTTCTTTAACCTTTTAATTGAAAGAAACAAAAAAAAAAAATAGTGGTAATTCACAAACACCCGTGGGACTCGACTTAACAAGAAGAATAAAACGCCCTTTAAAGCACAATATAACCGACAAGGTATACTCATCATGAGAGACTATCCAAACCACCCTTTACCGAATTCAGCCTGGACTCTGATTCTGCACACAATGCAGACACTTGTGATTCCAGCGTATCAACAGCCACTTCCATGCTATCAAGGAGCCTTGCAACCTCATCGGCCCGCTTCAAGGCACCTTCCGTACAGGGCAGCTCCATTTTAGAATGCGAGGCCCCACCGTACATTTTAGCAATTGAGTCAGCAGCGGCAACAACGACACGGTAAGCCATGATGTTGGGAATACGCCCAGAAGTCCTATTGATCGTTTCCCTAGAAAGAAAGGGTTCATCTGAGCAAAAATGAAGACGACATCCACATAGTTCATTTAACCGAATTGCCAAAGGGTACAGAGCTTCTTCCAGTTCGACAATCGCCTCAGAAGATATCATCAACTCCTCGAATGTTGACAACTGACCTATTTCAGGAAGAAACAAACTTGCTTCCTCCGCCACGCCACGCAACCCTTTTTCAAGTTGGAAAAATTCATTCCAAACACTTTCTTCTTTACGTTGCCATCGATCCAGTAAAGGAAGGCTAACAGGACAGAGATCCACATTCTTCCCAGGAAGAAGAGATTTAACGTTCCACTCTCTTTCTTCCACCACTGGCCTCACATCACTCAGACCACCTGTCCCACAGCCTTCACCGTTGTAAATTGAAACACCAATGTTTTCAACAACATATGGATGAGGCCCAGCAGTTGCGGTTTCATACTCTTCGAAACTAGCATACATGTCGGAGACTACACGAAAACACAAAGTTTTTTTTGCCTCGTTTAGACGTTGTGCACTGGTGGTACAACCCAAGTAGAATAGAGAAATGCAGAATCAAAACGAAGCATGCAACACCGGGAAAAAAAATCTGTCTACATCGTCAAGTTCACGAAAATTCCACAGGCGCTGATTGGCCGTGTGACCCTCTGAATTGCGTGTCGTTCATAATGACGCCAAATTCTCTCTCCATCTCACCAATACGAGTTGACAGTGAGTCATGTTCTGTCTTCACCGCACTGATAGCCTCGTCGTAATCAGCCTCAACTTTTTTGAGCTCGTCAGCCAGCTTCAGCTTCTCTTCCTCAATACGGTTTAATGCTGTATCTAATTCTATACAAGCTTGTATCTTTGTATTTTCTTCCCTTTTGTACTGCCGTGCAAAATCGGTCAATATATCCACTTTACCAGTTGTCGCTGTGCTAAGATCCTCCTCATAATTTGAACACGTCAATCGCAATTCATCTCGATCCTTCGTTAAGGCAGTGACCTCATCCAGACGAGCAAAATGATGCGCTTTCAATGCAGACAAACGTAAACCCATTTTCACAATCTCATCGCTCAATTGTTGCTCCTCGTCTAACAGATCGCGTTCAGCCTTTGGGTTCTTCTTATTATCCTTTGGAGGCATCTTTGTCAAGACCGGGGCAACCACACACCTTTCTTGTAATATATCAACGAAAAAGCAAAAGAAGAAGGGTCTATTTACCACGTGGCTGTGTACAGAAGCTTGCAGAGTACACCATAAACAAAAAGACAGGGGCACAGTCTCAGATAACTTCACCAGAAAAAAAAAAACGAATTTAAGAGGGTGTAACGAACCAATTTCCAGCACCAACAGGGTCTACATTTGCCGCTTTTTGAATGAATGGATGATGAAGCAACTCGGTCGCCGTTGGTCGTGAATCCAACGGACGAAGACACTGATCGATAAAATCAATAAGCTCAGGGCTGTGCTGACGACCATCGGCTGTCCAATCAATCTTTGCATCTCCCGTAGCAATAACCTGTAAAAGTTCAAAAAGATTGTTTTTGATTGATCCGAAAGGATACATTCCCAATGCACATTCTGCTATGGTCAAACCAACACTCCATATGTCGCTACTGAACGAGTACGGTTGAGCTTTTATTCGTTCAGGGCTCATGTAGATAACGGAGCCTTGGGAAGACAGCGTTTCCACATCTCCACCAGAAAATTTCTTGGCTACACCAAAATCTGCTATTTTGACCTCACCTCCCGAATTTGCAAGAACATTGACGGGCTTAATGTCACGATGAATCATTTTCGAAGCATGAAGGTGTTCCAACCCCTTAAGAAGCTCTCTCGCCACATACGCCAACATCTCCTCGTTGAAACAGCTAGGGTGCCGCCGAAGCACATCTGCCATACTTCCAGCATCCATATATTCCAGTACAATATAAAGTCTCCCCTCCTTAAAAAAGGCCTCATGTGAAGTCACAATATTTTTGTGCATCAAAGCTTTAACCTGTCTCAGCTCCGATTCAAGGGCCTGTCGCATATCATCTGTGTCCCCTTCCAATTGAATATATTTCAGTGCGTACTTCTTCCCGGTGGGTCGATGTCGAACAAGTTTAACCTTCCCCTGAGAGCCTTTTCCCAGTTCTTGGCAGGTGCGTAGGTCTTCAAATCTTATCTTATCCATATCTAGATCGGTCATGCCATTCTCCTGATCCGCAGCCTGGGCTGGAATTGTGGGACCAGACGCGATACCGCTTTCTTTAACGCGCAATTCGACACCACAATCGCCTTTTACAACTAAGGTAAGCGTATCCGTTATCGATACAGCTCTTTCTGGAGGAGCTAAATGAAGACGCTCAAGTTTCGGTCTTTTGGGGGCCATATATGCAGCTACTAAACTACCACAAATAATACTACAAGAGAAGCAAAATATACCCCCGCAAGAAAAAAAAGGCTTTGGCAGATATTAATATTAACAGCATTTCAGAAGACTCAAATTTGCTCTTGATTTAATAAAGAGAGGAAAAAAAACACACACAGCAAACATTCTTCATCCTCAAATACATCCTCACTATACATAACACTCTACATAAGATTACACTCCTTTCGCTTGAACCATCCACAACAAACAATTTTCTTCTCCTTTCATTTAGGCTCATCCATTTCTTTCTTGCATGCACCTAACTTTCCTCCGAACCGCTTTCCATCTCATCAACCTCACCATCATCACCATCACCCCCCGCTACTGATAATGAACCTTCATCAGTGAAACCAATAAGCGCTCCATCTTTTGTGCTTCTATTACGCAACTTATCGGCGTGTTTTCGAAGAAGAATGGCCGCAAACGTCCAGGAAAAAAAACAACTTGTTGGATATGACCCCCTTTCAAGAACATCTTTTGCCCCATACCCTTTCAACATTTTTCCGGCTCTCAGGAAAAAGGCCTTTTTTCTTTGCTTGATGTCTGTAGGATCAAAGGCAGTCATTTTCGTAAGAAGACCACTTGTGACCTTCTCACGAGCATCCTCCCATTTCTCAACCTTTTGGGGCCTTGACCCAAGAGCCACAATAAGTGTCGCTTGCACCACCAAAGGAACAATAGGTGGTGGATGAAGATATTTTGCCAACTCCAACAATTGTCCTGGGGTAATACGAATAAGGTTTTCTAGTGTCTGGCTCCATAAGCATTTGAGAAATACAATGGATGAGGGGCCTAATCCCTGGAGTTCATCCTCAATTTTTAGCGTTTTCCCCAATGAAAAAGCCTGCTCATTACCTAAAAGAAGACTTGCAAGAATCTCGACAGCAGTTTTGAATATTTCCTTTTCAGAGTCTCTGAAAGTGTTCTTTGTGTCAACACAATCCATAAACACTACACCCAGAGATGTGCATCCCCCATCATGTTTTCTACCAGTGATTGTTCCTACAAGTAAGCTCCCTGTCTTCTCTCCCTCTAAAAAGGTCTTAACTTTTTGATTTTCAAAAGGAATACTAGCGGTATTGCTAATATCATCGATACAAAACACCAAAACCTCATTGCCACGTATTGCCTCAGTGCACGCATTAAAACTAATACCACACCCATTCTTTTCCTCGGCGAGAGTATGCTTTTTACCGAGCATGAACTGATGTGAAGGTGAGGCCGCCACATACGACATTGAATCTGGCATTTCGTCTATCAATGATATATAACAATTTTTGCAGCCGGTTACTGTAGTAAGCCAATCAACGCATTGCTGGCATAGTTGGGATCTTCGCTTTTTTTCAAGACATAAATCAATCATAACGCCTAGCTCCCACACAACTTTTGCAGCATCCTCCACTTCATGTTGTTGAAAGCTGCCATCCCCATCACGGGACATCGCAAAAACATATGGTGCGTGATTATATCCAGAGAGCAAAATCGGAAAAAACACAACTGTTTCATCCCTCTTTTCTGCCGAAACATCAAACATAAAACATTGATCATTTGTAGAACTGTTGGTAACAAACTCAACCCTGGAAGAACAGTAGTCAGCAAAGGATTTTACCGCACCACCGTGTAACTTCTTTGAGGCAACTGATATGGAATTTTTCTCAGAGATTGTCTTGCCCAAAAGATGACAGCATGTGCCATTTTTTGTTTCCATCAAATAACATCCATTTTGACACACAACAGTTGTTTTCATCTGAGCCCTATCAATACTCATGACGTAAGAGGTATCACCAGCACAACCCAAAATAGCGCATCCATCTTTAATCAGTGCAACAATATCAGTTCCTTCTGGCCGACGATAAACAACACCTCCTTTATCAAGCTGGGGTACGGCAGTGTCAGGCTCAACAACTGGTAGCACCTCTTCCATAGTTGGTGGAGTATCATTAGCTTTCGCTGGTAGCGGAGGGCTCTCTTCATATGCAATGAGTTCAATAGAATTGTGATGATGTGTTAGCCTTTTTCTTTCAGATCTCGCCCTAGCACGGCGCTCCTCTTCACGTCGTTTTCTTTCAAGAATTTTGGCTTCTTCCATAGCCTCCTTTCGACGTCTTTCTGCTTCTTCCTCTTCTTTCTGCTGGATTTCTTTCCGCAGCCTTTCTTCCTCAATTGCTCGGCGATGCTCTTCAGCGATTCTCTGTCTTTCCTCCTCCTCTTTCTGTAATCTATCTCGAAGTCTCATTGAAAACAAAATTCGGTGGCATTCCCCAATAAAACAAAGTCCAATACACAGTCCATTTTCTCCTTCACCAATAAAGAACCGTAACATTTGTTCCGCCGCAGAGACAATGTTCTGTTCTCCAAGAAACTTTCTTTGTTGAAGAACATCAAAGTCAACGTGCAGATTGTGACGAGAGGGCACCTTATCAGCGAGCACTTGTTGTTGGAAATCCATTATATGTGCAACTACCCTAGTCGAATTATCTTGTTTCTGTCGTAGTTTTTCGTTTCTAGCGGCAATTTGTCGTTCACCTCCAGCAGCAGCATTAGATAACACATGATGCTGCTTGGATCTTGCCTGTTCTTCCTCATCCCAGGTTCTCGTAATCCACTTAACATGCTCAACTTCTATTTCATCGAGCCGCCCTTTCCGCAGGGCATACGAAGCCCATGTTTCATTTAAAAGTACTTGACGATCATATACTGCCTCCCCATAATTAACCTCTTCAATGGTAGTCGCTGGTAGACGGTAAACGTACTCAAAAGACCTTGCTTTGTCCATCACTGCATGACTTTGATTCAAGGTTTGCAGATCCCAAGCGGACGAGAGAG